AGGCCGGCGTCCACCGCCGCGTCCAGCCAGCATCGCAGGTAGGCCCAGCAGCAGTCCTCCCAGGAGGCGCACACGGGCAGCAGGCGCGCCAGGTGGCAGCTCAGCGCAGCGTACACAGCGGCCTCGTGCAGCCCGCCGCCGCTGGCCTCGGCCGACGCGCCGGCGCGCTCGGCGGCCTGGAAGCAGGCCCAGCGCCACAGCGCGCGCAGCGTGCCCTCCCCGCCCTCCACCTCAGCCGCCAGGTCAGCAGCCTGCTCCCCGCCGGGATCCATCCCCTCCGCCTCCTTCGCCGCGACGCCCAGCGGCAGCGGGCCGTGGCCGCCGCCGCCGCCCAGCGAGGCGCCGCGCCACGGCTGGCCCACGGCCTCGCACAGCTGGCGGGCCTGGCCCATGCGGCCTGCACGGGCAGACAGAGCACGCGCGAGGAGGGTGGGGTAGGAGGCAGGCGGCCGGGCGGGCACCTCCCAGCATCCAACCAGGCCGGCAGGGGACCCAGCCCGGCTTGAGACCCGCCGCCCAGAGCCCCCTTGCCACACCGCTCAAACAACAGCAACACCACCACAAACTGTACCTCGAACGCCGACACCCCCACCACACACGCACACGCACGCATGCATGCCCGCCCGCGCTCACCCGCGCGCATCAGTGCAAACACGCGCGCCATCACCCGCTCCTCATCCTTGCCGTCGTCCGCCTGCACCGCCTTGTGCTGGCGGGTGGGCGCATCGGGGTCCAGCTCAGTCACCAGAGCCACTGCAGTGTGTGTGGGGTGATGGGGGGGGGGAGTGATGGGAGGAGAGGTTTGCGGGAGGGAGGGGAGCAGCGGCAGCCCAGGGCATGGGCAGCCAGCAGGCGGGAACTGGGCACGGCAGCACAGGAGGCATGCTGTGCCCGTTCGAGGGCTGGTTGGGCTGCGGGCTGGCTGAACACGTGCGTGCCTCCCCCTCTCCTCCTCGCTCCCTCCCACGCGCGGGGCCCCGGTCAGCCCGCCCCTCCCCGCCCCGCCCA